TTAATAATTAAATCGATAATATAAAAGCTTTTATTTATATTAACTTTTCAAAACAATTGATTAATTCATAAAATCGATATAATACTAGTATTTATATAAGGCAATATTGATATACTACTTTTATTAAATCCATTAAAAGGATTTAGCAAACTAAAGAATAAAACTTTAAAATTAAATAAAACTTTATATAATCTAAAATAATTAATTAGAATATAATATTATATTTTAAAAGATATATTAAATAAATTAGATTTTATAAATCTAATCTCCAAGGAATATATTTTTATTAATAAAAATAAAAATATAATTCTAAATATATATATTAATAATATTATTATAATAATCCCAAATCAAAAGATTATTAATAAATTTATTAATAATCTAAAAAAACATTTTGATTTAAAGGATTTAGATTTTATAAAGAATTATTTAGGTATTTAAATTAAAAGGATTGATAATATATTAAAGTTATATCAATTAGAATATATTAAAAAGATATTTACTAGATTTAATATACTAAATTCTAATTCTATTTTCATTTCAATAAATTTGAAAATAAAGTTAATTTATGATAAAAAGAAAACTAATAATAATAATATTAAATTATATTAAGAAATTATAAATTCCTTATTATATTTAGCTTTCAAAATTAAACTAAATATAGTATTTTCTATATCTAAATTAATTAGTTTCTTATTCAATCCTAATACAAAATATATTCAAGTTATTAAAAGAGTATTAAAATATTTGAAAGGAATTATAAATAAGGGTATAAATTATAATAAAATTAAAAACCCTTATATTCAAGGATTCTATAATATTAACTATAAAAAGAAAATCAATATATATAAATTTATTAGTAAATATATATTTATATTAGAGAATGAATTTATTAATTAGAAATCTAAATTATAGCCAATAATAACCTTTTTTATAGTCAAATCTGAATTTATTACTATAAATCTAGTTACTAAAGAGGCTGTTTATATTAAAAAGCTATTATTAAAGTTTAATTTATATAAGCAAAATAAATTTCCTTTGTATACAAACAATCAGACTGTGTTAGTACTTGTTAAAAACCTTATATTTTATGAAAAAAGCAAGTATATAATAATCAGATTCTATTATATTAAAGATATTATTAGATTAGGGAATTTAGATCTAATTTATATATTTATTAATGAATAAAAAGCTGATGGGCTTATTAAATCATTAGCTCGAATTAAATTAATCAAATTCACGAATCAGATTAATCTGAATTAAGATATATAATAGGATTGATTAAGAGGGTGTGTAAGAATTCATAATAAGTTTATTAAATCACTTATTAATATTTTATCAAATAAGGAATATATTGATAACTAATATATATATGATATAATCTTATATTATAAAATCATATTATTATATAGTTGTATAATAGTATTTCTTATCAAATTGATTTATAATAGAATAAAATAAAATGAAACTAAATAGAAGTATATAGGAAATCTCGCTAAATTGATTGGTTGTACTTTCTTTTTATTATCTAAAATGATTCTATAAGATATAATTTAAATCGATTTTATTTATAAGTATAGAATATACTGGAATTTTATTATAAACTATATAAACCTAGAATATTCTTTAAAGAAACTCTAGGAAAAAGCAAGCAATTTCATCTCAACTCAGCCTAGCTCTTCTAAATTGACTTCAATTCAACTCTTATTCTATATATTCGATTTATCCCTATAGCTTAAACTGATTAGATCTTCCACTATCCTTATAATAATACTGTTCCTTCTTATTATAAGAGCTAACCTCCAAGAGATGGAAAGGAGGTAGGAGGGTAGTGAGATCTTCTTCTCGGCAGGAAGAAGAAAGAACACTGCTTCTATGGCCATCTTGTGTTGATTTTGTTGGTTTTGATGTCTAGCATCTTGTGTCTTCTGCGTCCCATGCTTTAGCGATTAAAAAATCGGAGCTTTGTACCAAAGGACGCAATAGGAAGAGTTTCAGTCTCTCAAATGCCTCGAAGACAAAGACAGAGCTCTGGACCTTTCTGCCGAGAGTCTACACAGTGATTTCGCGAGCTTGTTAAAGTTTGATAGACTGGACTGAGTAGTACCTAGACGATGTGGATATATATCGTAAGTATCAACAGGCAGATCAGGAGCATGCTCATACGTAGTGATATTTCTGCGTGTGTCCGCGCGGCTGCAGCCTTAAATTGTCTTTCAATATAGTTTTGGCTTTATTTGCGAAAATGCCGGATCAGACTCAAGATCTACGTCCTTGGCAGTACATAAGGCTTCAAGGACCGAAGATGGTAGCCAATATGCAAAAGATTCGAATAAAGACTGGGTTTTCAAAGACTAGGTGGGCTGGCAGACATTTCTTTTCCAAGAGACGTGAAGACCTTCGAAGATGGGTGTTGATATAGGAAGGAAACTGAGAAAATATTCTTGTGCTGGCGCTGATCTGCCAAATCTCATGAGACACTAGTATTCTTTCCTAACTGCTTTTCTCACCGTTTCGTTGAAAGTTTGATGTTGACTTTGCATAGATCGACGACTTCGTTCTTGCAGTTCAGTTGTCTGTCAGAACCCTGCCTTGAAAACACAAACAATTAGCCTATGATTTAGTCCAAGAACGAAAGAATGGTAGCAGAGTATTGTGATAGATCACACATGTTTGAAGCTACTGGGGCGAGGTGGTAGAGAGTTAATGTTGCGGTCGTATCGTTTCACGGTCATTGCGTACACACATTGCAGAATCAATCATTGTTAAACCAGTGTGATTGAGGTCCTCCATCTACATTAAAAGCAGCTCTTCCGGCAAAGACATTCCAGAAACCCCCAGTGCTAAGTAGCGATGACCAAAGAAACTACAATGAAGCCGCAGGGAGAAAAAAGACTCTGAAATGAAGAATTATTGTGCACACAGTATGATGTATCCCACCAGCTTGATTCAGCTCCTTTGTAGCATATCTTCCCTCTTAAGTTGGTTCTCAATCTTCTCATTCCTCGCCTTTCCATCACTCCCCGCTCAGACAACCGCAACTCAACATTGCAACGGTAATTGGTTGTTGAATTCGTAGGAAGATTGTTGGCTATGGAATTCATCGGGGATGTGATTGGCTTTAGAAGCAGCAGTACTGATAGGCGGAGGAGAAGGACGTCGAAGGGTGTTAAGAAGTCGTATTGGGTTGGGAAAGGAGATGATCGTGGGCGGGTACTTCTATTTTTATAGAGGTTAGATGGCTTTGCTGCTTGAAGAAAATGAATAGATTATATACTCTTACCTTGTGAGCGACGATTTATTCCTTCTTTAACCTTTGCATTCTTTGCCTCCTCGCCCTCATTTTTGCCAAAAAGCGGCGTTTATGTGCCCGCCTACGCGCCTCATATTCCAATCTTTTCTTCTCCTTCAGCATACGCGCCTCCTCTTCCAGTCTGTTTTGGTATTCAAAGTACTCCTTTGCTATGATCACAATTCAATTAGTCTCGATAACAATTGCACTGATCAAACACGTTGCGGAAGATGACGACGCAGTATTTGAGGGGCCAATGAAAGGTTAACCAACCTTCAGGAGAGGGCCAGGCCATGGTACTGTTTGCTTGTTCTAGCGAGAGCATTAATCGAGCCACCTCAGCTTTTTTCATCTTCACTTTGATGTTTGGAATAAAAGCAAGTTGATGGATAAAGTAAACGGCAAAAGGTTGCAGAAATTGATCTAAGGACCTTGAGTGCGACTAATTAATTAAAGGATTGAAGGAAGAATTTACCTTTGAATTAACATGTGGGGCTGTGCACTAGATCTAACCATTTTGGTTTCTATGGTCTCCTATAGTGAATATCCTATTTTTTTTATTGGCTCCCTTTTTCAACTATTGAGGTTTACCGAATCTTAGCGACAGGCCACCCGGATTTCTAACTCTTCTTTACAAGCACTATTCGAAGACACCCAACATTTTTTGAGTAGATGATTGTTCAAATCTAATGATTTACTACTTCTAATTTCGATAAAAATATCTAATTTGTAACTAATTGACAAACATAAGTTTTAGATTTAGGCTGAATGCTCTTATTTTGGCGATTGTCACATTGGTCACTTTCTCTTCGTCAACTTTTCCTAGCGTCACTGCTTTGAGGTATTCTAAATAAAGATATAGATACATACTAATATAGTCTGAGATCACCATGGATAAACAGACGGAGCAGAATAAACAACTTTGAAATGATAAAAGTTGCTACATGTCACGGCAGGGTGAGGTTAAACTTCAATTCTGTCACGTGTCACAACTTCTAAAAACTGAAGTTCGTATTGCTACACACCAGGCTGTGGAAAGACTGCAAGAAGAATCATGCATGTACTGATCAAGAGAAGGAGCTTTGAATGAAACACTGCATCAGCAATCCCCCTCAGATTGTACAAAACTTACATCATAAATGAATTTTAAAGTTACCACCTTTGAATATGAGCAAAAAAAAGACTTTCATTAATGAAATTGTTGTGGCTACTAGATAGATCGAAATCTTTCTTTGCGCAATCAAGATATCATTGTCTAAATTATTTGACCAAAGAAGCCACGAGAGTATCCGAAATTAGCATCGAATCTTTTTGTTCTACATTACCATGAATGTGATCATTTGCCTCGTTCTTTCTATATGAGCCATTATCATACAATTTCGAATATTCACTTTCTTACCTGCGATCCTGTTCTACCCTTGACAAGTGGGCTTTCTACCCCGTGCATTCGAGTTTTATTCTTTGTTTTCCTGACTTGAGACAAGCATCGAGGGTTCTCGCTATTTACATTCTTTACTTATTTTCGAATATCCGAATTCTGCTGGACAATACTCTAGTAGCTAGAATATTCTTCCATTGTTACCTGCACAGCTCCAACTCTACATAAATCGACATGTTCCTACCTCCTAGCCATCATCAAAAATTCTCCCCATTCATCTGCGAATTAAAACAATCACAATTTCCAGATATTCGAGCCAATCAAACAGTCATGAACGACCTCCGCCACCCTCCAGATGAAGTTCCCGAATCTCTCTACATCGTCCACGACCCCTCCAATGAACAGGTCCCAGAAGGAAAGTCTTCCAAATCGCAGGAGTCTCTCACTCCATGGGAGATAGGTTTCCGCCCTTACGATATTCTGAGTCTCAGCCGCAAGACTGCGAGCAGCTTTCTCCCTCTTCATTATGGTGCCGCGAACGGACCTAGAAGAAATCCTCCTAGTGTTTATGTCACAGCGACTGATGATATCGAGGCTGCGGAAAACGAGGTCATTACAAGCGAGGATGATTTAGTGATGTACAGATTAGACGGCAGATGTGAGGAAATGAGAAAGTGTGCCGTTTTCAAAGCGTCAGACTGGTTGCGCGCTCTGGAAATGTGGGATGGAGACGAGAATGAAGATGAAGATGAGAAATCTGCTAGACAGAAAAGAGTGGGCTCTGAATGGTTGATTTGGCCAAGTGTACCAAAAGAGGCTGTTATAGATATGTCGACAAGAGAAGACATCCTTGAGGATGATGGTAAGTTCTATCCCTTGTCTTTATCTCTTGGGAGCTCACAAATACTGACTTTGTAATTAGAAGAAGAGGAAGATCGTGCGATTCAGAAACATGCGCCTGGTCAAAAACATCAAAACGCTACTGCAAGCTCGAGCAAGAATCCAAATGCAGCTGTCAAAAAGGGCAAAGCGAAACCTCCATCGGCTTTGCATAGTCACAAGGGACTGGTGCGCAAAGATGTAAAGGCAGACGGCACACCTCTGTACATGGTTGCGTTCTCCGAAAATAACGAGTTTTCATTTTCGACCATCTACATCATTGAGGAACAAGAAACCGGTCCACAGTGTCTTGTTCATTGGGGCCCCAGAATAGAACCCAGCTGGGTCGCCATCCAAAATGTTGATGCGAGGGCTGTGAAGGACTACTGGCGACGCAACACCAACGGCCGAGGAAAAGCAAAACCAAAGAAGAAATATGAAATTCTATTTGAAGATCAGCAGAACAAGGAGACTAAGTTGGACAGCAAGTTCTTGGTTAAGTGGGCTGATTCCGAGATCTTGGCCTGGGAAACTTATGACAGTAGTCCTGGTGTTACAAGACATGCTGTCAATGAGTTTCGAGCGAAGAGGGACACATGGCAGAGATATCAATACAAGTGAAGGGTATGAATGAGGGGGTTGTGGCAGAGAATCGCAGAATTCCGAGCATGGTTTCATTGATAGGTGGTTCTGAGATTCCAATGTGTTCCGGCATTTTTGGTGGATGCAATTTGGGAGTTAGATAAGAAAAAAGTCTGAATGTATTTCATGCACCAAATCTTCTGACACCCAAAGTTTCAGGCTCGTCTTAAAACTCATGATTCATCCATTTACATTGACGATATGCATGTCTAGCTAGTCTTCACCACGCTTATAATGTTAGCACAGTAGTGCTTGATAGCCCAATTTCAGTTGGTCTAAATTTTAAAATAGATCGCGAACATAAAGGATATACTTATTCTTTGCGATTTCGTAACCGAATCAGAACAGGATCAGTCAGGTTCTATCTCATACTTTACAAATAAGGTCTCACAACTAAACACGGTCCGTGGGAATAAAGGGCTTGAGGCTAGTATTGAAGTGACATTCATCTCCAGGTAGTAACATCTGAAATAGTGGTAGACACCAAAACTATCTCCACATGAGAGAGCTGAGTGTTGGTTAGTCTCAATTATTTGGAACATGATGGTTAATCACTGGAGAGTAACGAGAGGCGGTACTAATTTCTATCAAAATCTTTATCCTAAATTTAAAGCTTTCTACCGGATACTGATCTAGTAAACTATGATTCTTCATTGACAACCAACGCCGATATGGATGACTTTTAGTTTTACACCGGGATTCCCCCCTCTATCTAAATCTAGCGCCCTTATTAGACTTCGACCAAGCTGATTCTATGCTATTCTATGCTAATATCCAAGGCTCAAGAGATGTGCAAAATTAATCGCGTCCAAGAGACATATTTTGTGAACTTCCGGTCTAATATGATTCGGACTCCCCTTTCTACACTGCACCATCCACTGAATCAATTGTATACTCCACTAATCCTCCTCAAACATACCACCCCACCATCCAAACCTTCTCATCAACCTTCTTCCCATTCTCCGAGCAACGACAAAATTAATCTTGACACCCGGATGCGGCTCATGAAACTGAATGCTTTTTTCTGCTCCGGTTTTAGCCGCTGCCTCCTTGGAAACAGGTGTGAATTGCCAAACACTCCCATACAATTTCTGTGCAGCAAACCCCATTTCTACCATTGCCTTTAGGAATTCTACCCAAGGGACGTCGCCTGGTGTGTTGTTCTGACCAGGTTGGAAGAACAATGTATTGAACACTCGCATAAGATGATGAGGGATCTTGACTTTAGATTGTTCGACATTGAACTGTGGTTCGGGGTTCTCAGGTTGAGCCTCAGGTTGCGTGAGCGGCTGTGTGGACCCTCTGGTCTTGGATTTTGCTTTCTTCGATTTTGTCTTAACTTTGTTCTTTTCCTCATCATGTGCCCATTCTTGGGTGCTTGAGGCTTGTTGAGATTTTGTTGTAGCTTCAATCGGTAAGGGCTCAACCCATGATGAAGTTCTTTGAATCTTTCCTCTCTTTCTTGGTGGATGCCCTCCAAAGCACGCATCGATGTTCTTCCTCGTCAGTTTTTTCCAGTTAGCATCAAATTTCCCCCAGAAAAAGTCAAGATTTTTCTCAGCCAAGATCATCTGTTCCGTGCTTTGTTTTGTACGCTTCTTATTGACAGGATATTTGAATTTTCCATCACCGGGCATGCAGTATGGTACGATACCTTTCAAAACTGAGTTCATATACTCGATATAATCATTGTTGAAAACAAAACCTGTCATTGTGATTCTGAGCACTTCTCTCTGGTGGTTGTTCTGCAAATCAATAATGAGCTTGTGACCTAATTTTGGAAAATCAAAGGATAGCTGTGGGATCCATATTCTCATCAGGTAAGTTGCAGAGTCTTTAACGTGTGAAAATCCCTTCTCTCTCGAAAACATTTGAACTGCAGTTTAGAATGTGACAGGGGTCAGGAAAAGTTGAGGAATTTTCTTACATTGTACTCGTCGTCAAAAGTCGCAGCCCAAGGCTGATAATTCTCGACTTCATAAAGAGCTCGAGATAATATTGCTAGATCCGAGAATCGATCGGCGATATATGAAGATATGTTTTTGCTTTCTTCTGGATCCTGCATCAGTTGTTCGAATGCGTCGATGACATTTGTCAATCCAAATAAATCTCGTTTTTCCCGATCCCACAAAATCAACAAAAGACCCCATGGTTTGTGGAAAAATGGACTTCTCTCATCTTTTGGCATTATATACATGTTGGTTGTACCAGGAGCTTGCGGAGCACGTGTGAAGTGATGTCGGAGAGGTGGTGAGGACTGGATATTCTGGAGATAGTTGATCGGTGCTTCGGCACTTGTCTTCAGACTTCAAAATAGTTAGGTTCGAAATTGTGTACATTGGGAAAGACATGTATCCTTACAGTTCCCTGAGCTTCAAAATGGCAATGAGGTATTCCTTGGGAAGTTGCTTGTTATACGAAATTTCATCCTTGTACTTTTCCATTAGTGTGCATAATAGAGCAGCTTGTCGATGAAGGAGAAACCAGGTTTCGTAGCTAGAATATGCGTCACTGATAATGTTTCTGACCACGCGGCCCCAGAAATCCTGAGTGTGTGGTCCAGTCGGATGTGGGTTGCCATTTGTGTCTAACAATGCATCATTCCGATGCTCGCTCCAATCGTTAATGGTGTCAGCGAAAAATCCAGGATCTTCCCTCAAATCAAAGAGATAGTCTTCTGCTGCTGAGAGTCTTGCTGCAAAGATTTCACGAAGCCGCTCAAAATCGATGTTCGCTGGTAAACGATACGGTGCTTCTGCTGAAATGGTGGCCAGAGATGGAAGTATCTCGGTAACGGCGGCTGTAGTAGGCTCTGGGGCAACGACAGGATCAGGTGCAATACCTGTTGGAATATTTGCATCAAGCAAAGCACCCGATTTGGTGAAGTCGTGAAGAATAAGCTCACAACATCTGATGAGGAAAGGATATATTTTTTCTTGAAGTTCAAATGCTTTCAAACCGTCACCAGGGCTGAATTGTCTTTCTGTGAACATCAGATCAGCAGCAGCATCATCCTCGTCCCATGAAACCAATCTTCCATACGTTTCCACTTTATCACCATCCAAGAACAGTGTATGAAAGGGAAGGAAAGCTGGTTCAGGAATAAAATGCGCAACAGTTCCGAGGTGTGTTGCGTTAAGATCCGCGCGAGCAAATGCGCTTGGAGGGTTGTGTCCTCGGCTAGTGATGAAAATGACCAGAGATTCCCTACTTAGGTCTTGCAGATTGATATAAGGCCATTTGTAAGCTTCCTGAAACTTCGAGAGTCCGATGAGTATGCGTCCGGTACACTCCTGTCTAAATGCCTCGTAATCAGGACGATGTGTAGTAGACATGTTGGGCCAAGCTTCCAAGAGCATTTCCCTCTGTTTCTTTCTCGACTTCTTCATCCAACGCTTCTCCAATGTATCAGCATGTAACTGAACAATGGTCCGCAATGTATTCCAATCCGATAATATCTTTTGTGATGACAATCGAGCCTTCTCACGAACTTCTTCTGGTGTAGGCTTTGAGCTTGGAGTGAAACGAGATCCAGGATACACATTTGCCGGATTATAAGCACCTTTCAAACCCATGCGTGACATCTGGTTGTGCATCTCTTCGTATTCATCTTTAGTTGTGGCCATCCGACCTTTGGCCATCTCGACTACCCAGTCGGTAGTTTGTGGAGCCATGTTCGAATCTAACTTCAGAAGAATTTGGAGGTTTGTTTCTGTCTCTATGCGTGAATAGAGGACGATAGACTTGGAATTTTCGGGTGCGGTGAACGTGGTACCTGTATGTAGGTACCCCACCCCCTCCTCGATAATTTGCGGAGATTGCATATCATCACGTGAGACTTTCTTGCATCATCTAAAAGAATGCACGTGATGAAAGTGATTTTATCCCCTAGACTGCGGGTTACGGCCGGCATATGTGGCCCGTGCACAAACAAGAACATTAATAACTTTACAAATTATATTATATATAAAAACTATTTAATTGAGATTGAAGATGAGAATTTAATGAATTAGTAATAATTAGAAGGTTTATTATAGATTCATATATTTTATTTTAAAAAAAATTGGTGTGAAGTTTTTAAATCTTATTATATTTTTATATTCAAAATAATATAATCTATAATTTCAAGAGCTTTTCGATTATAATACTTTAATTGGCTAATGAAGTATTATAAGTAGAAACCGGCCGTAACCCGCGGTCTAGGGGATAAGATAGATAATAGATTATTACTTATCTCACTTTCAAACCCTTTTTGTTAATAAAACGTTTTTAATTAGAATTCTGAATTATAAATTAATCTTTTTAATAATGTTGTTATTTATTAATAATTGAATTTTTTTTAGTTAATTAGGGATTAGGGGGAATATTTATTTCTTCGAAAGTCTAAAAGCTTTTAATTATGTTTTTGGTAAAGAACTGAATTTGTTTGATAAAAGTATTTTAATTATATATTTTATTTTTTCAATTACAATTTATCAAAAAAAGAAATATATCATTTGAAAGAGTTTAATTAATATTATTATGTAAATCAATTTTAAAATGATTAAAGTTGTGATTATTGTGAAATTCTTTTAGAAAGAATTTTTTGTTAACTAGTTAAATTATTTTCAATTATTTCAAATTATTTATATTAATTATGAAAATAGTATTAATCGAATTGTTTTATTAAGCTGAATATATTAATAGTTTTTTTAATAATATTAATAGTATTGGGATTATGTTGTTGATAGAGGTTCAATTGCTTTTTTTATTTTAAAATTATATGTTTTAAGTTTAAGGTATATAGTTTCAAAATGAAAATGGATTTTCAGATTTAGGAGTACTCAATCTTTTTGAAATCAATAATTCTAATCCTTTAAAAGGGATTGAGATATATGATGGGAATTAGATTGATTGAAAGATTGTCAAAATATATATATTATTATTAGGAATGGTAGTAGTAATGAATTTCGAAGAGAATAGGTGCTTAATTTAATGAAATGTTGGTATTCAAAAATGTTGTTTTTAAAATTCAATATTATATTTATATATAATAAAATAGAATTATAATAATAAAAAATATATTAAAATAATGAAAAAATCAATTCTATAAATTGAATTTGTATCAAAGTAATATAATAGTTGAATGATTTATAAGATTTTATTGAAAAATCGAAAAATTATAAATTGTTGGGATTCATATCAAAATTGGAATTAAATAGTTTCAGATCTTATAGTGATAAACCTTGGGAGGCCTTTGTTTTGAAATCAAGGCCAAAAATTATGTAATCACTGTGTAGTCTGAGGATGAGATAAATTGATACTGGAAGTTCTAGAACCTGTTTCATCTGATCTGGCTAATATATCCGATACATAAATTTTGGTTCCCAATAGATCTAAATCAAACATACAACTTTGATCTGAATTAGATTAACCTGTGGAAGTATCAAACACTCTGCTCCGTCTGTTCCACCTTCTTTTTGGCTAATCGCCCGAAAAAATTTCTCATAGATACCCACATGTGAGCCACAATTGCACTAATCCAATTCCAAGCCAACAGCCACACATACTGAGGAATACGCCAACTTGAAGGAGTAGCATTCTGGTCATTTGCAAGAGCAGGCTCTGTTAGCCCTTCGCCTCTTTGTTTCCATACAGTGTTATCATTTTTCTTCATGTGCTCAATGGTACCGGCTTTTAGTTTTTTGATAAATTGATTTGAAAGGAAGACGATGTTGTTGACGTTGAATACTACAAAGTAGGTTATGGTGCCTAAGACAACTGCGACACCAACCATGATATTGATGTTCGCCAGGGCGCTGTCGTTGATGCTCCAGATAGACTCATCATTGGGTCAGTACTGCGTTGACTTCTCGGGAGTTGAAACGTACCATGGTAAATGATAGTGGCAAGAAGAATATGCTCACGAAGGTGAGTAGTCTCACATTCTCTCCCAATCTTGTCGAAGCTCTTGATTCCATGACTGCACTAGCGTTGAAAAGCTAAAGAATGTTAGATCATATTAATTTTCCATTTATCCCACAGGCCTTCCATTATCGAAGGATAGGAAGATACATACACCGTCTCGGAGATCTTTGGTAAGCTCTCGTTGGTCACTAAAACGACTTTGAAGCCTGACAAGATCTTCCTTGAGCACACCCAATTTCTTTTTTACAATCATCTCTCGTGCTTCACTCATTTTTCCTTCTGGTAAACGAAAGTATCTTTTTAGAAGAGAGTTATCCGAAAAGTCCATGAACCCTTCAAGTTGCGAGATTACCGCGGCGACATCTGATTCAATTTCTTTCAAAATGTTCAAAGCCCAGAAGTACTTCTTTGACTTGGAATATTTTGAATCATCCACAAGTAAGAGGTCGTGTAAGTCAGGCTCTAGTAAAGTGTCACTCTCGCTAAGTAATTTTTCGAAATAATTTGCGAGAATATCCCAATGACGGACAACTACTCTTGTGCTGCGGTCTACAATGCCCGAAAAGGCTACAATGAACTCGCGATCAACAGCTTGTCCACTGTCTTCATATATATCTGCCGCGATACTTGTTGAGCTAGGCGTTAGTAACAACATGGTCCAATTCTCGGGAGACCACTCTTGAAAAAATCTGATTATTCCAACAATCTAATTGTAGGTCAGGTTCGCGTGAGAAGGAAGAGAATTGCGAACGAAAACTAACCGTGACACAACTTCGCCTTAGAAATAAATTATCGTTCTCCACGTTGTAAATAACTCGTTCCCAGTTTCGAACATTATCATTGCGAAACGCCCCTGTTTTCCAAATACCACGACCAACTTCATGCTCTGGAACCATTTCGTAAAAAGTAATTTGAAAGTTCGCACCGTCTCTCCTGTAATCTGACTTGGGAAGGCGCTTGCACAGTCCGTGGGAGCGCCACGCACTTTGTAGCATAGTCTCTGAAAGTCGAAGTATTCTCATTTCTTCTTCATCCATATAGAACATCGGGATCAGGCCCCGCAGCCTGTGTTCAGTGAAAACATCTATAGTACTGAAACCGAATATTTCTTTCATTTTTATCATTGTATGTAGTTGCTCAACGGACTTGTACATGTACGACATGTCCTTAATCAATCTGAAACGTAAATTAGCCCTACTACTTTCATCCTGTGGTTCGTTGTCCACTCACATTACTCTTCTCCATTGCGCTCTTTCACCAGCCTGGCTTCGGAGCTGTGCTTTCTTTCTCCGTGAATAAATTTCTGCGATGGGACTTATGGATGCATGGGAGGAGTCGTCACAGATACCCTTACAGGTACACAATCTTCCGGAATCAGCATCAGGTGCAAACGCGAACACAGGAGGTGCTGTTGGGCGAAAGAAATCATTATATCCGAATTCAGATAAATTATAATCAAAATAGCACCATTGATGAATCCAATCCCTGATCTCGAACGAAGAGTCACAATTTTCAAATCTATCCTTCGTAGAGAGAAAACTCTGGAAAGATTCAAAACCCAGTTTAAGCCGACCATCAAAGGGTATTTTCTTGAACCAATCCCAATGTATATATTCAAGACTCCTTAGACTTTTCATTGAACGTTCAGTTGATGCGGAAACTCTTGACTCTCTTACTGATTGAGCAGAAGATGCTGGCGGAGCATTGTACACTGCTGGAGACGTGCTTGGCCCTCTCAAGGATCGTATGCCAGAAAATTCCTGACCATTGCTCATCGTTGAGGAAGTATTTGGTATTTTTAATGACTGAGTGACTACAGTTTGCGGAGCTTTGTCTATTTCCGAAGAATTGCTTGGTCTTCTATTGTATTGTGCGACTGGAATATCTAGGGGATCATTCACTGGTGAAGAAGCAGTGATCCGACTTTCATCTGGTGATGGAGACCGGGGAGCTACAGAACCAGCTTGCGACGTGGTAGTGTCCCGTGGCTCATCTTTCGAAATCGATTGCTTACTATTATTGTAGTATAACTCATTCTTGATCTACAATGAATGGATAAAATAATCAGCATTGCATATAGAGCTGCGAAAGAAGCAGATAATCATTGTGAGTCAGGGTACTTGCAAATTCCAGGTAATCTTGAGGGATCCCCTCCGAGAAAAACCTTTCATCAATATCACCCCAAAAGTCTCTCTCCTCTGGACTATGCGTATATTCAAGGGGCTCAGATTGATCTGCTGGTGGTGAAGCGCTTATCGGTGGCCTGCTCTTGGTCGTGTTATTGTCTATCGGCGGTTCAGCGGCAAGTGACAGAGGTTGAGACTGCGCCTTGGTCATAGCTTGAATTGCTTTGCTTTGTTCACCCAGCTCTGAGGAGATATTTCGTAGCTCCTTCAACGTCTCTTTGAGGAGCTCAGCTAGCCCCTCATTCTCCGAGCTGCATGAAGAGGCCATGGTAATTAAAGTACAAACAACGGATTGTCCAACTCAGTCGTTTTTCTAGAGTCGATACGGAAAGTGATGGATATAGAATATTTCTTTCACGCAAAACCCGTCAATCCATGTACCAGACTGTGATATTTCTCAAGCATGGAAGGAAAACTCGAAAGACGATTGAAGACAGAATTCCAGGTGGCTTATCATTATATTGATGCCTCAGACATTTACACTAACTCCGTATATTCTGCAAAGGATACCTAGTTCTGTATGCATGCAAGTTGAAAGTTTCGCAGGCATCTCTAGGGCTCGACGGGTGCAGCTGAAGCCCCCTGTAGAAGCCTTGGAATCCACTTCGGGCTACGCGAAGCGATAATCTTTAGCGGATATGATCCCCGGAACTGACGCCAAATCTCGTCAGGCATGGTTAAAGGCCTGTTTAGCAAATGGAGGCTCTGATTTGCCGAGATTCTTCTGAGTTGTCAAGTTCTGTGGGCTTTACACCTTCAACTCGTCCCGTAGCATTATTAGATTGGTCTCCTATGTCTTGATAGTTTGATGTATCGACACAATCAACCTTGTAAAAGCCAGATGCGGAAATACGTGCGTAATTGAATTTTCGAACTGCCGTTGAGATCAAATTTAACCGAAATCCTGTGTAAAATGAAAATGACGCAAGCTCATTCGAGTTCACCAGCAGAGATTTGAGCGAGGGGGGGGGGGCGGAAGGGGGTCGTACAACAAGTACGGGATAGCCAGATGAATCCGAGCGATAATCCCACAGACGCTTACCCAGTTTTGATTTAAAATCGCAATATGTAATGGAAGACACAGCCAAACAATGCCATGTTCCATTCGGATAAAAATCCTACTCTGTTATTTGGACCGTTGTACGAAGAATCTCAGGCATACATAACAACCACGAAATATCTTCAACTGATTCTCCTGCGGTTTTAAAATGACATCTCGCCCCCCATTTTCTATTCAAGAGAATTCAGCATCAATGTCTTTTCGAAAGAGCAGTCAAGAGATCCAGCTGTACAGCCTCACTATTTTTCAATCCAGGTCAGTTGTTGATCCAGAAAGTATCCTTGACTTCCATAACACCAATGGCTACAGCCCTCAGAGGTTTTTCTTGCATCTCAGCTTGCTATTCGTCCAATAAGCAATAAGCCCCAGCCGATCATAATACTACCCTATTCAACACCCCCCATACAACAAAGTCCAGCCATCTACCAATGACGCATTACGTGCATGTATCGAGCATTTCGAAAACCAATTGTATGAAACCACATCGGTTCACAACTAAAAAGAAAAAACGCCTTCATTGAAAAGAACTCGGCTCAATCAAACGCCGTTTTCTAAAAACATAACATCCACCACTGGTGATCCATGAAGTGAAGTCAAACTCCACGCCAAGCCACTACCCCTTAGCGTCAATCTAATCTAATCTTATCTCCCCCGCGAACGCAAAAAAATAATTTCCTCTTACTCAACACCACCACACTTGCACAACACAACTCCAAGCTTCCATCCCTCCACCACCAATCTCACCAACGCTTTCTCAAATACTAGGTATACACAACCATAAACATCAATCACCACATAAATCCCTCGCATACGAACTCACCCACCAATTCACATCATCGCGCGCCGCGCACCCCCCAAAAAATGAAACTCCTAACTCTCAATTTCCTCACCTGCGCCGTGAAAGCGTGCAAATCGACCAGCGCATCGTTTCCTCTTCATCCAAAAGAATGTTCGCTTGTTAGTAACGATATACCTTTAAACACTGCTTTACTTCTCAATATTCTGCCGCGGATTGATTGGAAGGCGCTTTGTGTTATTGCTTCTGAGGTATGTTTTTTCTTTCTTGCGCTCTTCCTTGAATCATTGTCCCTCTTGCGCATCTGCAACTTTTGTTTCACGCTCAGGTCAAGCAATGATTCCGAGATGAAAAACATCAGGAAAGAGAACAGATGCTAACATAAAACGTAATCTAGCTTTCATTCCCCGCTCTCCCCCCCACACCACCCACTCCCGAAACCCTCCAAGAAGACGAAAAAATGATGAAGGAACTCCATACGCTTCTTTTAGAAACAGAAATCGACGAGGGAAGTTTAGTTTGTGCGAATTGTGGACATGAGTATCGTGTTAAGGAGGGGATCGGAAATTTCTTGTTACCGGGACATTTGGTTTAGATGGTGGATGGATGAGGCTAGAAACGAAGATGGAGATGGATGTGGGAGTTTGGAATTGGGAACTGTGGGTTTGAAGGGCTGGGTCAGTTCTGGATGGAAGTAGCTACCTGGATTGCTAGACGGAACGAAAATCGGACTCATAGATGGAGGATATCCAAGGAGGAAAGTAGGGGAGATGAAGCGCCAGAATGGTATGTTCTACGGTCTATGTCTATATAAGGCTCCGGAAAATCGAGAGCGGGCAGGAGGAAAACGGCATTGCATATCAAAAGCATAATCACAAAAAAGTACCGCGCAGCTTAGTCGTGGAGAAGAAATAGAAGAAAAAGATACCCAAAGATCACACATTCTTTTACATTCAAATTGACCTGTGTCATTATCTTCTTCCATGCAGCGCTACTCCAGAACATCATTCGGTGGCTGAAGGTATTTATCAGAAGATCCATCTCCTAATCCATTACTGAGTATTAACTAACCAGAATTTCACAACAGATTCACATTTCCAGTTCTCAGCTAAACCTCCATATAGATCCGCATCCTCCAATTTTTTCTCATCTTCATCTTCACCCTCATCCTCACCCTCACCCTAATCCTCATCCCAATCCTACTCCCAATCCCCATTCCCGTTCCCAATCTCCCCTCTACTCTTCCCCCCTTCATTTCTATCCATCTCCTCCGTATAAACACAAGCAAACACATACCCAGAAAATCCCATCCAGAAAATCCCATCACACCCTCCATCACACCCTCCCTCTCATACCCACGCACCCTCCCCTCCCTCTCACACCTATTCTTTCCACTCCTATCCTATCCTATCCCCTGCCACCCTACCAATACCCCCAATATCCATCCTTATTTATCCATCCATCCATCCATCCATCCATCCATCCATCCATCCATCCATCCATCCATCCATCCATCCATCCATCCATCCATCCATCCATCCATCATCCATCCATCCATCCATCCATCCATCCATCCATCCATCCATCCATCCATCCATCCATCCATCCATCCATCCATCCATCCATCCATCCATCCATCCATCCATCCATCCATCCATCCATCCATCCATCCATCTATCCACCCTCATATCCATCCACCTCCATATCCATCCATCCACCTATATCCACCCCCCACCTCCATATCCATCCACCCCTCATCTCCATATCCATCAACCCTCCCTTAATATCATATTCCCTACCCCTACCCCTACCCCTACCCCTACCCCTATCTCTAGTCTCTATGGTTATATAATAAATGCAGTCTTTATATTCTTCTATTCAATCTACCTCTATTCCCTCTTCAACTTGATCTCTCATATACCTCCTCAATCCCTCCCCACTCCCTCCCCAATCTCAATCCCTCCTCAATCCCTCCTCAATCTCTTTTCAATCCCTCCCCACTCCCTCCTTAATCCCTTCTCAATCCCTTCTCAATCCATCTCTATTCCCTCTTCAACTTGATCTTTCATATACCTCCTCAATCCCTCCTCAATCCCTCCTCCCTTCCCAATCCCTCCCCACTCCTCACTCCCAATCCCACTTTCGCAACACACAACCCAGAAATCACCACACCACTCCACACCACACCACACTACACCACACCTCCCTACATCCAAATCTTGAGTCTGAATCCCCAGTCCAGACTCAACTTTACTTCAATTCATTTCCTCGCTCCAAATATAATTTCGACCCCTTGATGTAGATAATCTCATTAGACACAATCTCATTAGACACAATCTCATTAGACACAATCTCATTAGACACAATCTCATTAGACACAATCTCATTAGACACAATCTCACTCCTGCAATATAAAGAAAATTTTATTTTAAAATTCAAAAGAATCATCGCCATGATATCAACAAGCTAATTCAGCTAATATCTCATGGGACCACATAAGGCATAACTTCGCTATCCATAAACACCATGCATATATCCATCCATTCAAGAAGTCTTCCCAAGTCTCAGTCACCCACCCCTCATTACATCTATCCAGCACTTCCCCAACACCAGTATCACAAATCAGACCCCAGACAGCTGACCACCCTTTAATCTTCTGTGTCCAATCCTTATCCCTCCACTTTACCTCGTCTCCCCTCACCAAGCACTCATCCCATCACCTCCATCCTCAGTCCCCTCAATCTGCATCCCCATTGCATTAGGCATACCAATAAGGATTCTACCCTTCGGAACCCTCACATCCCTAACCTTGAAGTCTCCAAAAATAATCAATTTCTTCAATTTCGGACAAGTCTTAAAGATACTGCCAATCACGAAATCATTTACTTCCTGACAGAAACTAATGTTCATCTCTTCCAATTCCGGATATTCCTTTTCGAGTGAGAATGCCTTTTCAAAACTTGTGAGGGAAATATGTCGACAAGAATTGATATCTAGATAGCGCAGAGTAAGACCTGAATGTGCCATTAGGGCTTCGAAACCGAGAGAGCAGAGACCAATGTTATCAGGATTATCGCGAGGGACGGAAGCATCGATATGACGGTTTTTGGATAAATCGATGAAGGAAAGAGGAGAATTTAACCAATTTGTGAAAAGGTTTGCGAAACCTGCATCTGTCAAGACACTGTTGTCTGTGATGCGCAATTTGGTTAAGTTTTGACAATTGTCATGAATAGCGTTTAAGACAGAATCGTTAATTTCATGGACTTGACCAAGAGAGAGAGTTTGTAGTTGAGGTCCGATACTATCAAGGATCTGAACATATGGTTCTGAGGCTTTGCTTTTTTGGATTTCCAAACCGAGATGTTGAAGAGTAGAGATACGTGAAATATGTGAAATACCCTCATCAGTG